GCTGGGGAATTCTGGGAGTTGAAGTCCACACATCTTAAAGTGGCCCAGGTTGAGAAACACTCATCTATAGTATTCTATAATTACAATTACAGCCCTATTAACAGTTTGCTGTACCACTCTCCTGAATGCTTGTACTATGGTTTTATGGCGGAAATATCTTCTATGGCAAGTACATGGAAAGAGTTTCCCTGTTGCATCTCTGCTCTATCTGTCCTCCTTCTTCTCCTAATACATCTTTGCTAGAATGGCCTCCTGAACCCCACTTTACTAGAGGAGTCCTGCTGTGTAAGAAATTAATTTACTTTTTGCTGCTAGTTGCCAGATTTATTACAGCAGCAAATGGACAATGCAAGTATATCTTCCTTTGGATCAGTGATATTGAAAAGTGTACAAAATACTTTTGGTTGAAAAAATTACAGCACAGCAGTGTCTTGAAGAACTTTTTAAGCAAAGAGATGCGTAAACTTGCATGTGATTATTATTATTACTATTTATTTAAATGTATCAGCCACCCAACTCCAGTGGTCTCTGGGCAGCGTACAAAACTAGAGGGAACATAAAAACAGTTAAAAACATGAAATCAAACAGAAGTCCAGACTAAAATAATCTAACAGAGAGCAAGATGAACAAAGGAAAACAGGGGCCATTGATCAAATAATAAACATCACTCCCATATTCATGTGATCTTCATGTTTGGATATATTAGCAAAGTAATACTGAATAGATTATTCCCATCTATAGAAATACCTTTCATATAGAAATATATGTCAGCGCTTCAAGGTAGGCCAGGTTGGGAAATCAGCACCATGAAGATTACTGTCACTCTACTTTATTGTTATAGGGTATAATAGCAGAAATTCTCTCTCCCTCCCTTTTGTACCCAAGAAAGTCAAGATGGGGCGACCTTGAGCTTCTTCCTTATCCCCTCCTTCTTTCCAAATGTTCGTAATAGCTGTTGCATGATTTCTCCAAGATGATTTCTGCCCTATGGAACGTGAATGTTTAAAATGCTGTATCTCTCTTTTAAGATTACAAGTGTACTTACCGTGCTCCCAAACAGAGCACCTGGAAGAAGCAGATCAAAACAAGTCCCGATGTGGCCACAGCTGCAGATTATGGCCCCACCCCTTTTTTTCAGGCAAAACACATTAAAAACGTGTGGGCGGGAGACTTCAATGTTGCAGCCATGGACACCATCTTGACTTGTTTGACCCACCTTCTGTGGCCACTCTGCTCCCAACCTATGGGTTTTGTTTTACAAAATATTTGTTTCTTCCTAGATGTTGTTTCTTGTTTAATTTCTGTCTTCCTCTTTAAGGTTTTCTTGATGTGTTGTTTAAATAAAAAAAATTAAAAAGGTAAGATTTTCTAAAGTCTTAAGTGTTATGAGGCACAACTTGAAGGAGCTGGATATGATTAGTCTGAAGGAGAGACAATTAACTCACAATATAGCAGCATTGTCAGCTACCTGAAGGACTCGGTGGAAAAATTTGATCTAGAGTGAAGGAGCTCAAAATTCAGGAAAACCCATTTCATCTGTATATTAAGAAACAATTTCAGAGGAATGTTCTATCTTGAAAAGGGGCAGATTCTTTACACTACAGGTGATTCAGCAGAAGCTGAATAGAAATAAAAATCCCATTATTTCCAGTCAGCATAATATAAAGAATTAGCATAATGGGATTTGTAATCCAACAGCCTCTGAGATTGCCAGCATGCATCTCTGGTGGCTGATTTTCTACACTGGTAGAGAGTTGGACCAGACTATCTCTGAGTTCTCTTCCAGGTTTAGGTTACTATAATTACACTGTGATTGGTCTTTAAAGTGTTGTTCATTTCTGCAAGGATTAAACTTGAAAGATGGTATTGGAAAGATGGTATTTCATCCAATTACAATGTCCAGAATTCTGTGTAGAGTCCAGAAATGAAACTGAGAAGAAAACAGTGAAGGAACATGCAGATTCTATTCTGAAAATAATTAGCTCAGAGTTGCCAGATGCTGGGAATAATTGAGAAGAGAAGAATCTTGGAAGCATTTTCCGATATGAGTCATCAGACCTTTGGTTAACACTGCTGTGGGTGGATGAGGCAAATGGATTATGCAAATTTTGGATTTATGGGGGAAGAGTTGTTAAAGATCTATTAACCTGAGCAGGTGTAGGGGAAATAGATCCAGATTATCCAGTTACAGTCTGGATTCCAAAACACAGGGCAGGTCCTTATATAATTGTCCAAGTTGGCTTTGCCTTCAGCATTGAACCAGAGTTGCTATCAAAGAAAGGATGCTCCTGAACTGGTGATATCCTACCTGGAACTGTTTTTATGTCCCGGGGAGGGCTTAGAAAGATCCGTCCCTTTTGCTTCACACTGGGAAAAAGAAATCTTTTAAAAGCAGACGAATAAGGAAAATCCCAGATTGCTTGTACCACAAGATTCGTTGTACGCAGCTGTAGGATGCAGAAAAACTCCAAGTCACGAGAAGAAGCTTTAAAGAATGAGAAACATGCTAATCCAGGTAAAACCCATACCCAACCTTTCAGAATGGATTTCTTAGAGCTGTTGTGAGTTTGGTGATGTACTGACTAGGCATAGTTCTATTTCGGTCAGAAGATGCATGACCGTAGCTGGCAGAAGTTTCCTCGGTTGCTAACTCAAGTGGTTCTTGACCTGGAAAAGCTCTTATCTCTTTCCTTATGAAAATCATATTCTGTTTAAGGGGTCTTTCCCCACTGCAGCATGAATGTGCCTGAGCAAACCTCTTTTTTCTCCCACATCACCATTCTGTTACCTTCATCTCAACCCTGGCCTGTGAAGCAGATAGGCTTAAGTCATCTTCAGCGGTTCCAGTATTCAGATGGTATTTTCTCCATTCATTTGATCTCTTCCAAGGGCAGCGAAGGCATGTAAAATCTGTTCTGTTGTATCACCATGACCTTGAAGAGACTGCAGCGATTTCCAATAGAGACAGGATAGAGATTGGCCATGTGGGCAGCAAATTTCATGTTGGTATAGTTTTGTTCCAACTTATGGGTACATAAGTTTTCAGCTGCAGTGGGAGAAGACTTTAAGACTTAGCAGATCGTTCTTTCACAGCTAATATCTTTGGCTGGCTGGGGATGGCTCCAATTCACCCTTTCCCTTCCTCCCCTCTCTGCCTACCGAGAATCCAGTGTCTCAAAAGGATTTATTTATTAAATGTATAAATTAATAATATAAATCAACTTACATGATTAAAACTAATATCATAAATGGAATAGATGATACAACTTTGATCTGAAATTATACAGGATTACCTTAAGATTCTTTTGGTGTGGTGTTTTACCTAAGCTTGTTTGTTTATTTATTTATATTTCAAATTTAGACACCGCCCTTGGTGTCAGGAGTGCATACGTAGCACACCCAAAGAATCCTGATGCAATTGTTCAAAGTGGTCAAATTGTCGTTTCCCTCTAAATCCACACCCTCCAAGGGCAGACTTAAGGCGCATAAAATCAGTTTGGCACGGTCACCCATTACCTTGCAGGGAAGTCAAGGGACCACAGTGACTGGGAACAGAAGCAGTCAAGACAGGAGAGGAATCAGTGATGCGGACAGCCCATTTCATGCCCAGAGAGTTTTCTCAGAACTCAAGGATGGGTGGAAAGCATGTGAACTTGGTAGTAGGGTATGGGGGTCACCTCTTT